TGTTCTTCAGTGGCAATAGTGTAGGAGCTATCGATAAGTTCTTCACCCGATTTGGTCCGCAATTGAAATCAATCTGTTTTATGACTTCAAACGATAAAAACTGGTTTAAAAAATGGATGCAAATGTGTGTAAATCAGCGTTCATTTCAAACCTGCGATCGCATGTCGTCGGCGTTAATCACTGGCGAAGTGGTGTTCAAACGATTGGATCGGTTGGGCATTTGGTTGAACTCGATATCTGCGGATCAGTTGGCGGTGATAGTCGGCCGATACGGGCGTCAATTGAAGAGTTTGGGATTGAATGCTTTCCCAATGGGTTTCGGTGTTCATAGCCAATATGTCAGAGACAATGTGGTCACTCTACTTAATATACTGGTAGACAGTGCGCCCCAAATGCGTGCATTGGTATCGCTTAACCTGGTATTCAACGATTACGGCCGCTCTTCAGTCGACCTATTGATCCCTTTTATGGTCAAAATTGGTGTCAATTGTCCGCAACTGAAGTGTCTTCGCGTCGATGTCTACGCATTGAATCGGCAATTGTTTCGTACGATTAGTAAACACTTTATGGGATTAACACGACTACGAGTGGAGGGACGGGGGACCTGGAAATACCCCCCACTAACCAGCGATTTATTGGCGCCATTGAAACGATTAACACGTTTGGAAATATCAAACAATTGCTCTGCGGATCCATTCCTCCACAATATTGGCCGCAATTTACCACTTCTTCAGTATTTAAAGCTAAAGTTTGGTGCCTATACTGACCAGTCGTTTGCATCGCTGTCTGCGTTGAGACACATCCGCGGCATTACTATCGATGCAATCGATAATCATTGGATGCAATGTATTAGTGAAACGGTTGTCAATAATCTCTACAATTGTCCCAAAATTTGTTTCATTCATTTGAATTGAATTTATCACAAAAGTTACCGAAAATACAGTATATTTTAATCTAAATTTTATTTCATTTGCCAATTAATTTTGCATTTTTTGTGTTCAATTTGTTTTTATTCAATACTTATTGTAATTTTTAGTAAATGCAATTAAAAAATTAGTTTAGAAATAATAACTTGTTTAAAATGTAATTCAAATACTTTTATAAAGCTATTTATGTTATCAATACTGTATTTAATTAAAACACAAATAATTGTAATTTTAATTCACAATTTAGACTCAATTCTTGTCGATAATATCGCGAATACAATCGTAATAATAGGCCACTCGAGTGAATAGCGCCGGATATCCCTTAATAGCGCAGGGATTTGAGGTCCAGGAGGCGACCCCCACCTCAACCCACTGGCCATCGCACCGGTATTTCATTGAATTTGGCTTTTATTTTATATTTAAATACTAGAAATAATTTGTTTAATTATAGTTAGTATTAATGATTTTTTGTTGTAAAATTTTGCAACTTTCCAAAAATTTTGATTATTATTTGTAATTTATTTAACTATCATACAATTAATTTTGTTGTAATTATTAACATTGTTAGAATAATTAGCAAAATTATTAACATTGGTTTTTTAAAAATATAAATTAATATTGAATTTAAACGGTATTAAACGCAAAATTTTTAATTACATTTAATAAATATAATAATAGTGTTAAAAAGTATTTATTAAATATTACCATGATAAATAAAATTAATTTTTATCAATGATGGTAAAGTTGAGTTAATTAATTAATTTTTATAATGATTGTAATTAAAGTAGAATTTTTTTCTAATAGTAATTGTCATGAGATTTAACACAAAAGATTTCTAAACATAAACTACTTTTATTTATCTATCATTAATAGATTAATAATATTCAGTTTGAATTATAATTTATTTAACATTTATGTCTAATATTATTCAGATTATAATAATAATAATTATTATTATTTTTATATTCATTTGCACTAAAATCTACTGTAATTTGTAGTTATTTTCCATGAAATATTTAATGAATACTATAAGTAAAGTTGTAATTTAACTCAACTTGATCTAAGTTTTTGTATATTTAAGCCACAATTATTATAATATATTTTCATTTTACTTTTCAATGCATTAAAAGCTATTTTTATTTTCCATTGAAACTCTTTGATTCGCTTTGAATGTAGTTTTAATTATTAATTGCTATAAGTTTTGCATTCATTTCAATCAAGTGTTTCTCAATTCAGTTATTAATTGTTTTTGTGTCACAAAAATGTGTTCAATGTATGCCTCGGACTCTTTGGATCGATTCGGTGATGATTTGTGCGAAGAGTTATTGTCTTATCTCTTACTCGAAGACAGTTTCCGTTTTGAATGCATTTCCAAACAGTGGCAGAGAGTGGTCTTCAGGAGACAAACAGTGATATCAATTGATGACAATTTAGGCAACGGATTAATACGGATGAGACAATTGATGAAAAAATTTGATCGTAATTCGTATAAACAGTTTTGGCGTATATTTAAATCAATTGTCATAAAGTGTGCAAACATTTCAACCATTCATTTACTCTATGAAGATATCCCCGAAGACAAAGTCATTAATCTAATGATCAAATATTGTCCGCATTTGACGGCTATATATCTGGACATCACTGGCATTTGTGTGGAAGCGATGAATAAGTTCTTCGCCAGATTTGGTCCACAATTGGAAACAATAGTTATTTACTCACAAAATGCTGATTGTGTAGAGGAATGGCCGCTGATGTGTGTAAATCACCGGTTATTTCGATACAATTACGATCGGATGCCGGCATTAAGAAGTTTAGTTGAGAACCCAGTGGTGTTCAAACGTCTGGACCAGTTGTCCATAGATTTAAGCATCGCATCCACGGATCAGTTGGCGGTGATAGTCGACCGATACGGGCGTCAACTGAAGGAATTGGTGTTGAGAAACTGCCAAATTGGGTTCGATTCAGTGGAAACTGTGAATGTGGTCACTCTACTCGATAGACTTGTACTCTCTCTCTCTCTGTCGGCAATGCCGGCGTTGGTTACGCTTAAACTTAGTGTTTACGGCGGTATCGTTTTGTCGGCCAAACAATCGGTCCTTTTATTGACTAAAATTGGTGTCATTTGTTCGCAACTCAAGTGTCTTCGCCTCGACGTCGAAGAATTGAGTCCACAATTGTTTCGTACGATTAGTAAATACTTTAAGTCATTAAAACGACTGGAAGTGTCGGAATGGAGTTTCACGGGAGGGCCCGCACTCACCACCGATTCATTGGCGCCATTGAAACGGTTAACACATCTGGAAATGCGGTGCAATCAATGTTTGGATCCATTTCTCCACAATATTGGCCACAATTTACCGAATCTTCAATATTTAAATCTAGAATTCGTGTCCTATACTGACCAGTCGTTCGCATCGCTGTCTGCGTTGAGACACATCCGCGGCGTTACTATTGGAGGAAAGTATGAAAGTAATAGTGAAACCGCTTTTGATAAGCTCTACAATCGGCCCAATATTTGTTTTATTCATTTGTATTTAATTTAGTTATTGAAAGTATATTTTAGTTCATTTATTAATTAATTATGAATTTTTATTTTTAAATAGTTTTTTTATATTCATTATTAATTGTGTTATTAATTCAATGAATATTTCTGTATTCTATCATTTTTATGTGAAAATTCATTTCAAATTCTATGTAATGTACTTTATTTCAGAATTTATTCACAAATAAAACTCATTTTATATAAAATCTATTAATGAAATACATAATTCATATAACCTTATGAGACATAACAATAGACATAATTATATGTGAAACACAGTCACACCGCTATCATGACTGACACACATGTATTAATTAATAGTATTTTAATATAGCCCACATTGATTCCATAGATAAACGTGATTAGTGTAACATTTGGTTTTTATAACAAACAAAAATTGGCCTCAAATTGGTACAAATCACTAAATAATCAAACATGTTATTTATTTTGTTAGTAATATCAGCCAATTGCTACATTTTAGCGCAGGGTAATTAATTGTAAAAAGTGTACGTGAATATACGTTTTTTAATTAATTAAATTAAGGTAAAAGTTTGGCCGAATGCCGGATAAAAGGCGTGAATTTGGTGCCGAAAATAATGGGCGGACAGTCAGTGCTACCCATGGAGTTCCCGTGGATGGGCTCTCTTCAGGTCAAGTACTTCTCCAGTCATAACTGTGGCGCCACTCTTATCAATGGTTAGCACAATTAATAACATGATCATTTTTTGAAATTATTATTACCTTGAATAGTCAATTAACTCATGGTAACCAATAATTTAATGAGATATGAAATTAATAATTAAAACATGAAATAATTAAAGTTCATAACTATTACTAACTAGGTCTAACGTAAAGGAAATAATTTATAATTAAAATTAACTAACTTTTCAATCATACTTTCGTATATTTCAGTATATTTAAGTAATTATTAACTTTAATTAAATCTAATGATTATTAATATACTTTTAATTTAATACACAATTTAACGGCCGATGCAATAGAGGAGTGGGCGCTGACGGCCGCCCACTGTATGAAGAAGTCGAGCCATGCCTTCAACTGGAAGATCAGATTCGGTGAACACTATCTCAACAAATACGAAGACACGGAACGGGAGTTCCTTATCAGTAAAGTAATCATGTTTTATATTAATTGTACAGTATTTCCCGGCGATAATGGACACCTATCCCAGTGACAATTGTTTATTATAGTCGGTGTGAATACTGTATTAACAAAAATAGTTACAATTCAAGTAAATAATTACGATTCCGGGGTTTGTTTTCGCACAGGTTTTCATTCATAAAGACTATTCAAACGTAACGAAAGTGAATGACATAACACTCTTGAAGTTGGCCTCCAAAGTGGACTTCAATGGGAGGGACAAACACTTACGACCCGTGTGTTTGCCTAATAAGTCGTTTCAGATACCGACGGGTGCCGTGTGTTTGGCCACCGGTTGGGGTAAACGGTTCAATAGTAAGTGAATATGTTTCAAAAAAGTTGTAAAAACTAAACTTTTTTTGTTTTTGTAATTAACAATTAAAATTTTTAATTGCAATTAAAACTCTGGGATTTCATAATTAAACACAGACGAGTCGTACTCAACGGTACTGCAAAAGGTGACCAAACAAGTGGTGGATCAGCGCCGGTGTGTGGACTCGTGGCCGGGCATACAGTTCCCCATCACTGACGGCCACATTTGTTTCGACACTCTTAGAGATGGCAGCGGTGTATGTAATGGTGACTCTGGCGGACCCGTACAGTGCCAGTCCACCGACGGCCAGTGGGTTGAGGTGGGGGTCGCCTCCTGGACCTCAAATCCCTGCGCTATTAAGGGATATCCGGCGCTATTCACTCGAGTGGCCTATTATTACGATTGGATTCGCGATATTATCGACAAAAATTGAGTCTAAATTGTTAATTAAAGTTACAATTATTTGTGTTTTAATTGAATTTAATAATAATATCTGTTGTAGAGCTTATCAAAAGCGGTTTCACTATTACTTTCATACTTTCCTCCAATAGTAACGCCGCGGATGTGTCTCAACGCAGACAGC